TTGTAATCCAGCGTGGTAGAGTCTGACCACCAGATGCACTGTCTCTGGGGCCTCCCGGGAGGTGAAAGTCAGCCTGTGACAGTGCCTTGCCCAGGGCCCCCCAGCATGAGCTACACAGCAAACCGTAGTTGGCTGCTACTTGTGCTGGGCTTGGAGGTGCCCAGGAGAGGCCAAGCTATGAGCCAGTGCAGCTGCCGCCAGTGCCAGGCCTGGGGCCGCTTATCAAGCAGTATGGAGACCGCTGCTACTTGTTTGAGAGATTTTAGGAAAGTCCTAAGCATGAGGCTCGAGAGGCCACTTGCACAGAAAAGCCCCTGGAAATGGCCTGGATGAGCTGCAGGTGGGGAGGGGCGGGGCCTCCGGGAATCACGGGGCGGGGCCAAAGGTGGGAGTCAGGTGCTGGGGATTCAAACATGGCGCCTGCCTGCGGGCTGTGTGCGGGGAGGACTTGCCAAAGGAGCCGTGGCCNACATGGCGCCTGCCTGCGGGCTGTGTGCGGGGAGGACTCGCCAAAGGAGCGGTGGCCTCGCCAGCCCTTCCGCCTGGGAGGAAGCTGCCCTCCACCTCTCGCCCGGATCTCAGGCAGGTTAGTTCCTCCCCGAGTGTCCCGGGTCCTTTCAGGCTGCTGCCCGGCGCTGGGCTCAGAGGGAGCGTCCGAGTGAGTCCGTGCCGGGCCCTTAAGAGGAGCTGCTGGGGCTCCCGCAGCCTCCGCGACCCTCAGCCACAGTCCCCGCTGGTTCTACAGCCCGGAGCTGTGGGGACGTCTCTTCCCAGCCCTGGAGCCCTGGGTTGGGGCCTGGTGTGGGGCTGGGACCCCTCCCTCCTCTGGGAAACCCCCACCGCCGAGATTCCCTCCCGGGTTCAACCAGGCACCGGGTGTGGGCCCGCGGCCACTTCTCCGGGATTCAGCCCCGACCGGCCTGTGTCTCCGCCCCTCCTATGGGTCTCGGTGCTGCTTCAGCTCCCTGGTTGTGGGGCTTCTGTGCAGCCAGGTTTCAGGAGGCTCTGAGTGATGGTGGTTCTGTATTTTAGTTGTGATTTTGTTTTGGCTGCGGGAGGCAGCGGGTGCAGCTGTTACCTCCGCCCCATCTTGTTTTCCTCCCAACACTAGGATATCTTACGTTCATCTGTGTGAAGGCTACTGTTGCCAATCACCAGGTTTCTATTTGATCTCTCTTAAGGGCAAGAGGCTTCTCATGAAAACAAATCTACAGTAAAACAAGAAGCACGCTGAAGGGAATGCAGCAATGTAACCTGAGAAGAGAGGTGATGACACACCCCTCCCCTCAAAAAAAGTGTCTAGCCTTTCTCCCTTGAGTTCACAGGTTTCTGTCCCCGCTGGATGCTGTGCTCCCTGATGGCTTGTTACTGTTTCCCCAGCACCTAGCATGGTGGCTCATAGAATGTAGTGGTT